AGTGTATTTCCAAACCAGTGTTTCCTATCTCGCGCGTAAATCTAAATTGGTCTTATAGAAAACCATTGCTACGAGTTTGCTCCTGGTTCGATAGTTTAAGTAACTTTGTTGTATCACCTGTGTTTAACCCTGACTTCCATTTATATACCTCGATCATATCGCCCCTCACTCTACGTCTCTCGAGGGAGTGCAAATTCATATGCTTTAATCTGTGTCTGTACTCAAGGTTCATAATGCCCTGGGTTTAGTCTTGTCATCCTCCTCTTTATTACTCCTCCTATAATCCACAGATGCACATAAGCACATCAAATATATTGAAACTTAATACAAAATACATCCTCATACTTCATGGGCTGGCTGGTTAGGTCAAGGTCACAGTTTCTGAGTCTCTGGCTGGTAGTAATGGAACACGACATATTTTCTTGCCAGTTGGTGTACCTTCAAGACAGCGATGTGACGAGGTGAAGCTAGTGGTTAGGTTACGAGGTGAAGCTAGTAGTGGTGTGACGAGGTGAAGCTAGTAGTGGTGTTACGAGGTGAAGCAAGTAGTGGTGTGACGAGGTGAAGCTAGTAGTGGTGTTACGAGGTGAAGCTAGTAGTGGTGTGACGAGGTGAAGCTAGTGGTGGTGTGACAAGGTGAAGCTAGTAGTGGTGTAACGAGGTGAAGCTAGTAGTGGTGTGGTGAGGTGAAGTTAGTGGTTGGGTGACGAGGTGAAGCTAGTGGTGATGTGACGAGGTGAAGCTAGTAGTGGTGTGACGAGGTGATGAGCTAGTAGTGTGAAGCTAGTAGTGGTGTGACGAGGTGAAGCTAGTAGTGTGACGAGGTGAAGCTTAGTGGTGTTACGAGGTGAAGCTAGTAGTGGTGTGACGTGGTGAATCTAGTAGTTGTGTGACGAGGTGAACCTAGTGGTGATGTGACGAGGTGAAGCTAGTGGTGGTGTGACGAGGTGAAGCTAGTGGTGGTGTGACGAGGTGAAGCTAGTAGTGGTGTAACGAGGTGAAGCTAGTAGTGTGACGAGGTGAAGCTAGTGGTGATGTGACGAGGTGAAGCTAGTGGTGGTGTGACGAGGTGAAGCTAGTAGTGGTGTGACGAGGTGAACCTAGTGGTGGTGTGACGAGGTGAAGCTAGAGGTAGTGTGACGAGGTGAAGATAATAGTGTTGTGGTGGTGAGGATTGTGGTGGGGTGAGGATAGTGGTGGTGTGGTGGGGTGAGGATAGTGGTGGTGGGGTGAGAATAGTGGTGGTGTGATGGGGTGAGGATAGTGGTGGTATGGTGGAGTGAAGATAGTGGTGGTGTGGTGGGTTGGTTTGATTTTGCTGCTTACAGCGGCTACTTTATTGTGCACCCCACACTCATCCTGTGAGCGGTAGCGCAAAAGGATTACAGAGTAGAGTTTACAACGGGTCATAATAATTAACCCCCGTGGTCAGGATATTATGGCACTGAATGTTACACAGTATTTCAATTCCATTATTTGTTTAGTTCTATACATAAAGGGTAACTTATTCACAAATGCGTGAGTAAAGGCGTGTGAGGCAGTATGTCTGGCCGCACACTTTGTTATTCACATTTGTGTGAGAATTATTCAAGCACATTGTGTATTTGGTTCTGTACATGAAAACTGATATAGTTACTATGTGCAAAAAAGTGGATACAATCTTAATATGTCGGCTATCTTGCCGTTAGAGATGAAGTGTTGTGCCATTTCACACACACCTGTCCCTAAAAGGTTCTATCTTCACACAGTCGAGTGTGGCTATATGTCTGGCTACGCACTTTACATTTAGTCTTGTTTACATCTGCTTGAGGAACATACTGCCAGAGGTACTTATATCCTAACCTTAATCTAGCGGTAACAACATCTTGTAATCTAGTGATCTTGTTACTGGCTCCATAGACTGTACATGTTTCATTTGATACATCTCATCATGGTAACCTATGGATCGACTAGTGCCTGTTTGCACTTGTCTACTTGCGTCAAATTCATCAATAAGTTCTTTCCTAATTACAGTATTAAGGGTTCTTTTTGACAGACCCAAATTGTATTCAACGGTGTCCACTCTACAAACTGGTGGGGTGAGGACAGTGGTGGTGTGGTGGGGTGATGATAGTGGTGGTGTGGTGGGGTGAGGATAGTGGTGTTGTGTTGGGATGAGGATGGTGGTGGTGTGGTGGGATGAGGATAGTGGTGGTGTGGTGGGGCGAGGATAACAGAGAAGATATTAGTCCTGTGTTGTGTGGTGAGTTGAAGATAACAGTGATGCAGTGAGGTGAGGACAGTATTGGTGTGGTGGGATGGAGTTGGTAGTGTTGTGGGGAGGTGGAAATGTAGTGGTGAGATAAGGTCAGGGTAGTTGTGAGATAAGGTCAGGGTAGTTGTGGCCACGGAGACCCAGTCAGGCATAGTGGGGTTTGGAGACTTTGGGGTCTACTCTAGGCCTATTTCAGGCAGGCGTTGATGATTTGCATACAATATGGCCCTATGTGGAGGGTTAGGGTGTTGGGAATGAGATCAACAACAACTGGGGGAGGGATGATACCATCAGCCCCCGCCATTAAAGATTAGATCACTGCACTCTTCACTGCCATTACAAACCCGGTGTTAGCACATTGTCACATATACAACATATTTTTCTTTTGCCATCTCTGATTACTATACCTAGAAGTCACTGTCTAAATTCTACCAAATTCTACCTGTTTTGGGTACTCTGAAGCTCTTCAGGTGGCTAAGACGTGTAACTCTCTTAAGATGCACAGCAGATACTGCGGCTATACTGTAAACCCATATGTAGGGAAAAAGTAGGGCGAGGGTTCTCAAGATCTGACTCCTTATACCTTACTCCAGGCCCTCGGTTTTATCCACAAAATACGAGCATGAACTCCGCATGCTTCGCTGTTGGGTGCCTGTAATGTTTTTACACTTCGCCTTGCACAGGATGCAAGGGAATGCCCAATAAACTACTCCCCATGCCTCCGTGTAGCAAACCTGAAATCTGATGCTAGACACAGTGACACCACCACAGTTCGCACACATATTTTACTTTGTGTTGTCTGTTAAAGCTGGTCTACAATCAAAATCTCATAGGGTCATACACAGCAGCACAAGAAGCACACATAACATATTCCTGCCCATGAATTTCGCTTTGTCTTTGGTGTTGTGTTGATGGTACAGAGGTAACATGCGTATCTCTCATCAAATTGTCATAAAGTCGAGTCCTGCATCGCCCAGACACACGTGGGAAGGTCATTAACCAGTTTGACCCGACCAAACATCACAGGTTTCCTCCCGTACTAACACTGGACAGACCCACCGCCTGAGTGATAAATACTGAAATTATTAAAAAAAAAGATAGAAGGCAGAGGTGTGCAGTCATCATCTGTGTAATAATAGTGTGGCGGAGTGAGGGTAGTAGTGGTGTGACGGAGTGAGGGGTAGTAGTGGTGTGGCGGAGTGAGGGTAGTAGTGGTGTGATGGAGTGAGGGTAGTAGTGGTGTGGCGGAGTGAGTGTAGTTGTGGTGTGACGGAGTGAGGGGTAGTAGTGGTGTGGCGGAGTGAGGGTAGTAGTGGTGTGATGGAGTGAGGGGTAGTAGTGGTGTGGCGGAGTGAGGGTAGTAGTGGTGTGATGGAGTGAGGGTAGTGGTGTGAGTGAGGGTACGGGTGGTGTGAGGGGTAGGTGGTAGTAGTGGTGTGGCGGGAGGAGGGTAGTAGTGGTGGAGGAGTGAGGGTAGTAGTGGTGTGGAGTGAGTGGGGTAGTGGTGTGGTGTGTGGGTAGTGGAGGAGTGAGGGTAGTAGGGTGTGGGTGTAGGAGTGGTGTGAGAGGAGTAGTAGTGGTGTGAGGGTAGTAGTGGTGTGGAGGAGTGAGGTTTAGTAGTGGTGAGGCGGAGTGAGGGTAGTAGTGGTGTGGAGGAGTGAGGTTTAGTAGTGGTGAGGCGGAGTGAGGGTAGTAGTGGTGTGGAGGAGTGAGGGTATTAGTGGTGCGGTGGAGTGAGGGAAGTAGTGGTGTGGAGGAGTGAGGGTATTAGTGGTGCGGTGGAGTGAGGGTAGTAGTGGTGAGGCGGAGTGAAGGTAGTAGTGGTGTGGAGGAGTGAGGGTAGTAGTGGTGAGGCGGAGTGAAGGTAGTAGTGGTGTGGAGGAGTGAGGGTAGCAGTGGTGTGGCGGAGTGAAGGTAGTAGTGGTGTGATTGGCTGAGGGTAAATCATAGGGAAGAGGGAGGACGTTTCTGGAGTTTCACTACGACACACAGTCAAGAAGTTAATTATAATCTATCTCAAGCTTCCCTGTCCCTTCCGCCCATCATTCTTTATCCCTCTTCTCCGCTATTCTCCTCTTTCTTCATCACTACCACCTCTTCACTCCATCCTTTACCTCATCCTACCTATCGTGTATCTCTACCGTTAATCTTTTTCCATCACCCCTGCACACTATTCAACTGTCTTATCTCCTCTCTCCATGCACAACCCCCTCCACTCCTCTCCGCTCCGCTCCCCTCTCCTCACCCTTCCTGCCCGGCTTGGTCCATGGGCAAAGGCATCAGGCATATAGAACCAGCACCAAGGCATCACGCCAAGATCAAGACATCAAGCCAAGACCAAGGCATCACGCCAGGACTAAGGCATCACGCCAGGACTAAGGCATCACGTTAAGACTAAATGCATCACGCCAAGACTTAAGGCATCACGCCAAGACTTAAGGCATCACTCCAAAGCCAAGGCATCACGCCAAGACCAAGGCATCACGTCAAGACCAAGGCATCACGCCAAGATCAATGCATCACGCCAAGACCAAGACATATTGTCAAGTCCCAAGACCACGCTAACATCAAGGCATCACGCCAGGACAAAGGCATCACGCCAGGACCAAGACATCACGCCAGGACCAAGGGATCACGCCAGGACCAAGACATCACGCCAGGACCTAGACATCACGCCAGGACCTAGACATCACGCCAGGACCTAGACATCACGCCAGGACCTTGGCATCACGCCAGGACCAAGACATCACGCCAGGACCAAGACATCATGTCGGGAGCGGAAGTCATCGCAGCATGACAGTCGTGGCAGCGGCAGCATCTGGGGTTGTAATTGCATCTTAACGAGCACCGGCTTCTTCCTCCACACCCAGCG